GGGATTCTTGGTTTTCGTCAATATACAATGAAAATGGGGGTGGAGGCAATATGGATCCCTGGGAAACACCAGCGTTGATAGTGAAAGTATTCGAGAGATAAACATCGATGACCACTTGCAGGAAACGTTCTTTCAGGAAGCTGAAGAGCCATACACAGAAATGCCATATCATCGAAGTTTGGCCAGCAAACCCTCATGCCACACTCCACATTTGGGGGATTTCATTGGGCCCCATTCTACTTTCTTACACAAAATCTTCATCAGGAAATATACTTTCCTACTAAATTTTCTTCAGGGCCTTCGTCGAGGAATCCACTTGGTTCTGTTAGAATTTACTACACTTTCCCTTCGGGCCTTCGTTTGAGAATATACTTCTCCTGCTTTCTCTCTATACATTTTCTATTCTCATATATTTCGTAGATTACTATCCGAAACTAGGTAACTTTGAGTAATGAAAGGCAGAAACTGCATCACGTAGAGATTCCAACTTCTCTGTCTCGATTTATATTAGTGCCTTCAGTACCCCTTAGCTTCATTGAACCATTCACAGTTTCAACTCTGTTGCACGTCACCTCCTTATAAGTAATTAATTGACTATTGATGGTGGTGTATTGAACAAAATAAAGTTCTGAAACCTATTAGTTCGGTTCTTTTCACAAGATATTTGCAGCTGACAAACATGTAAAATTTAGAGCAGAGTCATGTAAAATTTTATTCTCTGGTTACTGATTTCGTCAAAGTCAAACAGACCCCTGAATGAATACGTTGTTTTATAATTTGAATTTTTCATCCAATACAAAATTGTTTAAGAACGAATAAATTCTCCCCGAAAATTTTTTAAATAGTAAAATAATGAATAACAATGACACATGCCATTTAGTACAAAACAACTTTTTTTTCATCTCGCGAAAAATACACATGTTTATATCAAATTTTTAAATGATGAGGATAAAAAATGAATGAGAATTATATTCATGTACTTTTTGTTTGTCAATAACAAAACTACACAATGGGGATATTGGGGAAATTTTTT